TTTTTGCAGGAATCACTAAAGCCCATATTTATTCAAAGTTTGATTTTAAAGCCGGATTTTGACAATTGGGCATTCATCCCGATGACAGACCTAAAATGGGATTCTGTATCCCAAACCAACACTTCTAATGGAGAGTTCTTCCATTTGGTCTCAAGGTTGCTCCTTCCTTATTCCAAAAGGCTATGTGCCACATATTCCAGCCGATCTTGTCCAATGCTGTCGTCTATATTGACGACATATTACTTTATAGCCCAGAAAAAGAATCTCACTACCGACTTCTTGAGCAGTTTGCAAAAATTGTGAAGAAATATGGCATCATGCTTTCCTAGAAAAAGATGACCATTGCCCAAACAGAAGTTGAATTCCTAGGTATGCACCTTAACAAAGGTACATATTATCCAAGGTCGCATATCGCCAAAGAATTACTAAAATTTCCTGAAAAGGATTTTACAACCCAGCAAGTTCAACTGTAACATCCTCAATTTCAGTCCCTGGGAAATGGCTATGGTTTAAGTTTGGTAGCTTTTCAATCGGAACCAAAATTTTACTCTTGTTTTGGAAAATTCAGTTTCGGATCCTTTGTACTCCTTCATTTTGTTATTTTTGTGGAGACTTTTGTGATCCGAATTTCCAAACACTTCCTTCTTGAAAGTTTCTCCAAACATCTTAAAGTTTTACATACTTTAATTTCAGAATTTTTGGACTTGATATGAGTAGTACGACAGCCTAATGTCTGGATCATGTAAAATTGCCCAGAATGGGTGTTTCGGTGATGTTCACACTTCTTTATTTTATACAAGCTTTTTTGGGCCGATTTGGGAAAAGTTTCCTTCATAAAAGTTGTTGAGAACTTCTTTTGCTATAACATATATAAATTTGGGAATTTTTCGAGATTTTTATATGTGTTTTGTTGCGGAAACCCTCGGAAAATCTTGAGAACCAATCATGATGCGGGTTGTGATTTTAGTGCCAATGAGTCTATTTCGTGTGACTCGATTGGCCCGAATCAATTACGCAAGAAACCAGCAAATTTAGAAGGCTCTAGGGAGTCCACGGTTTCCACGGTCTGGAAAAATTTAGAAGAGGCTAGAAGATAAGGCTTTGACATGGTCAAAACTTCTCCTTCAAGCTTCCATTATTAAGGTTCATTAATGCCATTAAATGGCCCTTGACTTAGAAGCCCCTTTCATGATGACAAGCCTTAATTAGTTGGATTTTGGAGGCACCATCATTATGACATGCATTAATGGCTTTGAGTAGAGAGCAAGAAAAAACTTCTATAAATAGGGAAGCCCCACTTGAAGAAGACACGCACACCACCAATTGGCCAACCTTCTCTCTTGCTTCTTTGCTTCTTGTTCACGCCGAGAAAGAGAGAAAGAGAGAGAGAGAGCTCACCGACTAGCCCGTGTCTCTCCTTGTTGTTCGGTCAATAGAAAGCCACATCCAAGGCCCGTGTGTTCGTGTTCAAGCCCGAGATTCGCCGAGACTCCCGTGTTCCTTTCTTGTTCTAGTTTTATTTCATAGTGTAAGTAAACTTCCTAAAATCGGGAAAGGAAGTTGTGATACGTTGTGACAAGGTTTGCTTGGACCGTTTCTCGGTCGTTTGGTTGGTTGTAGTTGGTTCATTCCCTTGATTTGACCATATTTCATGTTTGATGTTTATCTTGAGATAGAACCGAGATTTGGCTGGTAAAGTGCACAAGTTATAGCTATGCGTGATGTTCTCTTGTATGAACTTTGCTATTGATTTGCCATTGATGCGAGTGCGGTAAGAGCCGACCTGTGCTAACGGTGATCCCCTTGTCCTCGCTTGATATTAGTAGATTTACTTGTTGAGTCTCCCCGACTCATCCCCCGTTATTTCCTTTTCAGGTCTGAAGAATGGCGTCTCCCCCGACCCGGTTCGGCAACCCTGTGGAAATGAGAGCCGAAGAGCTCAACGTGATAGATGTCCGAGAAGGCCGAGCCTACTGCAGGATCACGACGTATGTGATGGTCAATGAGGGCCTAACGGACTTGGTGCCTCACCCGTACGTAGCATGGCATGGCTACACTGACGGAGAATGGGTTGGACCCCTACGTGGGTTCAATGGACCTTTTTACGGCGCGGGCGGGCCGACTCCGGGGCATGCCACGGGTGGGGTGTAGATCGGCCATGCGAACGGGAAACGGGGAGGAGATGTGGATGGAGTGAGAAGCGAGAAGATGAAATAGAGGGGATAGGATCACCTAAGCCGAGTTTTGCTATTCATAGTCGGCTAGGAACGGATGAGCTTCTAAAATATGCGTGTGAAATATGTGATGTTTGCCATGGCCCGAAGGGCTTGTTAAAATATTTTTGCATGTACTGTAAATATAAGGTTTGCTCATGATGCTGCTTGTCTAAATTCCGCTGTTGTTCTGAATGTGATTGTCCCGAGTTTACGTTTCCGCTTGCGCTTATTAAAAAGATAACAATAAACGAGACGTCACGTTAATGACCCCGAGGTGGGGGCGTTACATCAACAATTTCTCGGGATAGTCAATTATCTTAGAGATTTTGTCCCAAACATTGCAAAGTTGTTAATTTCTTTGCAACTGACGTTAAAACAGCATCCGGTGCCGTGGGGAAAGGTACAAACAAGAGCAGTTGCGGAACTCAAAGAAATTATACAAAATCATCCTCCTTTGCAAATCGCATCCACAGGGAAAAGAATTTTGCAGACCGATGCCAGTGATGAATATTGGGCGGCCATATTGTTCGAAGATCTTTATGGTAAGCAACATCTTTGCACTTACAAAAGTGACAAGTTTTCTTAGGTAGAAATGCACTATCACTCTACCTTCAAGGAAATTTTGGCAGTAAAAAATGAAATAAAAAAGTTTGAGTTCCATCTTATTGGCCACTATTTTCTAGTAGAACTGGATATGGCTTCTTTTCCCTAGATGACCAAATTCAAACAGAAGCTGATTCCTCATCCTCAACTACTTAGATGGGCTGAATGGTTTTCGAAATACTCATTCGAAACCAAATATATTGCAGGAAAAAAGAATGTGCTTGTAGATTTTCTCTCCAGACTAAAAGCATCGGCAGAAATCAACATGTATATTCTTAGACATTCCTTCTCTCTTCAGCCAGACAAGTACAAAATTGAAAAATTTCGAGAATGGCCAAGCTTGGAATATCCTAAAAAAATAGTTGAGCAAATTCAAAAGGATAAGCTCACTGAAAATTTTGACAATCTCATATGGCAATGTCACATGGACCTTTTCAGACTACATAGAGGCTCTATTCTTAGCCCATCTGGATTACACTCGAGGTACCCTTTCATTCACCTATTAATTTGAAAAGAAAATGATTTTCCTGAAAAACTTAAATGGCTATTATGGTACATAACCAGTAAGTACTTAATAGCTATTGAGTTTCCCACCAAAAAATTTCTTCTCAAATTAACCAAATTGCTTATGGCTGATCACATTGAGCTAAATGAACATGAGAAAAACCTTTTGATAGTACTCAAATGGTTTTACCCTCCTATTTATTGGAAACGGCTCTTTCTCAAAGAGTTGTAAAAAGTCCAAGATAATTTAGAAAACTCACACTGTTGTACTCCTCCATCGTCTATGGACTTTTGTGTACAACAATGGCACAATCTCCGATACTCCTTTAGTAGTAGGTACTACTACCTACAAGCCCCAGTCACATCTTCAAGTTACACGTGTCTAGAATTCGTTTCCTAATCGCATTGGCTCTGTTGAATATAATTATAAGGAACTCCAAACGATCCTATGCTAAGAAAATCGTATTATCCCAGAAGAAGCATGGGATTACATTACACCTGTTTCATGGGATCACGAAGGATCTTCATCTGCAACGAGACAAACACTCAAAGAATGTGATCAGGCACAAGTACAGCTCGGATCATCACAAGATCAAGAAATATCAGATGCAAGAGATCCAGCACGAGCATCTCAGGACCCATGGGTGGACCACTCTCTCAAGATTCCTATGACTATAGACCATTGTCCTTATCCGTTGGACTTGACACCAGTACAAGTTCCTATTGCGCTTAAATAAGAAATTGACCCCAACTAATCATGCCTAAGAGAACCAGTTAAAACTTATCTCTTCCAGACTTTTCTACATATGCATCCTCTTCCTCGAACCAAACGCTAGTCATTACTGAAGACAATTTCGAACAAATTCTGGAACGGAGACAAATAGCAGAACATGAATGTGCAAACAGTTCAGACAGCTCGAACTATGATTACAACTCTGGATGGAGATAAACTGGTACTGTTTCACCTAACCGGCACTGTTCATTGAAACATATAATAGCCGGGTACTATTTCACGTAACCATATGAGTGTGTTTTAGGTGTCTTACGAGTGTGTTTTAGGTGTGTTTTGTTTTATCTGGACCGTCGTCCAACAATGTACTCCCCAGCGCCTATATAAGGCCATGTAATCCTTCAATTTGGAATAAGAGGAAAAGTTGTACAATTTTAGAGTTCTTATTTTTCATGTCTCTCTAAAAATCCTTTTCTTCAAAGCCTAGTATGATCCTCTAAGAAATGTAGCTCGGCCAGTTAAGCATAACATCATCCTAGTAACTCTGAGCGTCTCTATGCTCTGAATTAAATTTTCGGGTAGTTTTGCAGTTAAAAGGCTGTCCCTGAAGGGCTTGAATAAGAGGTTCGCCCATGCGGGATAGCATAACTATTGCAAACTGACCTTATTTTCCCTGATTCTCAGCATGGATCCTCTCATTGCTATCGATAATAAACAAAAGTTGATCATTTTTTGGTGCAAATATATATAACAATACAAGTGATTAAGTACCTCCGCGAAATTTCTAGTGAAGCAAGAAGATACTTGGTGCATTGCACCCCTAATGGACCTATCCGCGACAAATTTAAAATTAGGGACTATTGAATAAATATCGACAAGTATTACAAACACAAGAGAGAGGTCGCAACCAATTGATAATTGACAAAATTATTGCATTGTCCGCATCCTTAGGCAACAAAATTACCAAGATGAACTTAATTTCTTCTTTATCAATAGGGCACCAATTGACTGTCGGTGAATAAAAACACGAAGTGTTTATGGCAAGATAAACAATTATATGACCATATCTCTTCCATCAATAACGAGTAATAGACACCATTCATGTTGGATGAGAGAGTCCACGTTATATGACAAAAATCTACTGTTAATCGTAACATTAACCCGACAAATCGAAGCTATCAGTTGCATCACAGTCTTCTTTCTTCTCTCTTTTGCCTTGTTGCGTTACTGTTGCTTAACATGATCCTTTTGATAACTGTTCGTCACACGAGAGCCTCGCGGAGACATGTACAATTCATTAGTACTGACGGCAGACGAGAAAGGGACGATCCATTAATCGAGCTTGAACCGATGCAGCCCCACTTTGAACCCGAGGGTCTTGACATCTTGCTGCACTTGTGCCTGGAAGTCGCGGTATGTGAACGGCCTGTACTTTGAGCTTCGGATCACGCTGTCCTGGCCAGGGAACACGAAGTAACACACCGAGGTTCGATCCTGTGGTTTCTTTACCTTCACTCTGTGCTTCACACTTATGTACTCGTCATCGCTCATAGCCTGCCAACTCCGAAAAGAAAAGTAGAGGAAATCAAGTCTAACCAGTTTTAAGTTTATTGCGCAAAGAAGAACGCTCGAGATGGGTTATGGCAAACCTGCAACATATCGCCTACGTTTACGATAAGAGCGTCGGGGGCAGGTTGTACTTGTATCCATTGCTCGTCTTTGTAGAGCTCCAGCCCGCCCACCTCATCCTGGCACAAGATGGAGAGCACAGAGCTATCGCTGTGGGCTTCCATACCGGACGTGTCGCCGTCGGCTTTCGCGCAATGCGGGTAGCGATACAAGCGTAAAAATCCCGTTGGCTCCGATAGATAACTCTTCGAGTGTGTCGGATCAAGCCTAAGGTCTTCAGCCATGGCTCGAAATAAGAGCTTAGCGATTCTTGCTAAGTGAACTCCATACTCTTGTAGGAGATCCCTAGCCATACAGAGAGAGATGAACAAAAGTGGTTTACTTTTGGATTTCCAGTCTCGTAACTTTCTCGTTCACGGATGAAAAATCGCAAGAAAACCTATGGTAATTTAGTTTGAATTGCTCGGCAACATGGTAATCGATCCGAGGCGGCGCGTGAGCCTCAATCACTAACTTCTCTCGGCGGCGAAAATATATTCACGAGAATACCTTTCTTAACTTTTACCCTAGTTCTATTCCGTTTACGACATTGTGTCTTTCATTTCGGAAAAAAACCAGATCGATACTGTCGGGTCAAAGCATCGAGCGTTCACCCATCCAATCACAGTCTATTGATCACGGGACCTATTTGTGTATGTACAATCATTGGATGGGTTGAGCCTATACCGGTCTCTTTCAATTGCCATTCCTGGCGGGGGACCATCCAATGAGTAACATGACTTTCTCATCCTGAGAAAAGAAAAAGAAGGGCCCAAATCCAAGAGGCCCCACCGAACACGACCACAGCGATGAAACCAAAAATGCAATCGGACAACGAGATCGAAAAGACGTGCGATAGCGTACCTCAAACTAGCCAGCACAGTCACTTCCTCGTCATCACCGTCCCCGTCACCATCATCGTCGCCCAAGAGCGAGAGTTTACCGAGCGGGACGTTCAGGCCCTCCACCCAGTTCACGCCCTGAGCGCCACCCAGGAGGGCCGACCCGGACGGCGTCAGGATCGGGGTGCCCCAGAAGTAGGACACCGGGGTCGTGAATAGGGCCTGCTTGGACTCGAAGGGGAGCGAGAAGAGCCGCCTCGCATGGCTCCTGAGTCGGGTCAGCAGATCGAGAGGGACCCCGTGGTTGACCACCCGGAATATCCCCCACTCTCGACAGGCCTCCCCGAGCCGCTCCGGTTCGACGTCGAGGCGCTGGAGATCCACGACCGGGATCGGGTCCGGCTCGTGGATCGGGTTCGTCGCCGTCCGGGAGTCGCCGCCGTCTGGGTCGACGGCCGGGGCCGAGTCTCTCGGCTGGCGAAACAGAGGAGGATACGACGACTGCGGCTCCATGTTATTCTGCTCAGCAGGGGGCGGCTCAAGAAAGCTGGACCAGCTCGGGAATCGTGCAAATGCAAGTACTATAATCCGCGACCCTACTTTTGAGAGAGAGAGAGAGAGAGATATGGTCCAGTAAATTTCTGGGCTTAAGCCAACCGATCTCCATGATCCGACACGTGTCTGCAGTGTCGTATCCTTGGACATCTTTCTCTTTGGACGCGATGGATGAATTCCCTAAAAAATCCTTAATTTTATGTTCAGTCCCAAATCTGTCCGAACTTTTTTTTATCTAAAAAAATCCTCAAATTTTAAGTCCAGTGCCAAATCTGCCCAAACCTTTTTTGTCTCAAAAAAACTCCAAATTCTAAGTCCAATCCCAAATTTGCCACAAATTTTGTTTTGTGTAAAAAAAATCACCAAAATTCAATTTATTGTAAAAAAATATATCCCGTGATCCGGTCCCAACTTGACATGGCACTTCCACATCTATAACAAATTCACATCCGCAAAGTAATAGGGAAATAGGTACAGATCGACGTCGCATTTCCACTTCGATAACAAATCTAACTTAATAAAAATTGTTGAAATTCTCAAAAATAAAACCATTATAGGATATGAAAGTTAGAGACAATAACAAATCCACAAAAAAGAACTTTTTTTAATTTAAAAAAAAAAACTCAATTTTTAGGTTCAGTCCAAATTTGCCCGAACTTTTCTTTGTCTAAAAAAAAGCCCAATTATTTTGTTAACGTGGATTTATTATCGATGTGGAAGTGCCACGTTAAGTTAGGACTGGATCACGGGGTATATTTTTGACAATAAATTGAATTTTGATGATTTTTTTTACACAAAATAAAATTTGAGGCAGATTTGAGATTGAACTTAAAGTTTGGAGTTTTTTCGGAGATAAAAAAAAGTTCGAGTTAAATTTGGGATTTGACTTTAAATTGGGATTTTTTTTTAGGGAATTAGGCCCAGACGGGATTGCCATTTTGGCATTTCATATTCTCCTCGCGGACGCTACTGAGAAGTGAGAACTTGTCAGGCTCTCGAGCTGCTTCTCGCAATCGCAAAGCTACGTGGAAATGATCTCAGCCCAGTCGTATACAGGCCTCTGCCCTTCAACTTGAGTGCCTATCTTTGGATTGTTCTGCTTCCTTCTGCAAAAGATCTCACTCTTCTCCTGCGGTTCAGCTTCGCACTCCCTCTCGATCGCACGCAGGTTAGTGTTCCCCTCGCTCGCCCTTCCTCCTTTTTTATCTTTGTGATGAATTTCGTTTGTCCTGTTCCTTTGATCACGAATGCTGTTCCATTTCGGCAGTTTGAGCTTTGATTATGGTCATGAAGTTGGGAAAATTACCACACAAAAGTTTTAAACCTATTGTACATTTGTTAATTCAGTCCTAAAATCTTTTAATTGTGCCAATTGAACCCTAAATATTTTTATGTTTTGCCAATTGAGTTCATCCGGTCAATTTGGCTGGAAATCGTTCATATAGACATTGACCGTTTTACATAGCAAGGGCATTCAATGAAGAGAATTTTTAATAATATTTTTTTAAATTATTTTTTTATTTATTATTTTCTTTTCTTTTCCTTCTTTACTTTTTCTGGGTGAGGGCGTCGCAACCCTCACTAGTGGCCAGCGATGGCTTTGCTGCCTTCGCCGAGGGCTTGGCGGCCACAGTAAAAAGAAAAAAGAAAAGAAGGAAAAGAGAAGAAAAGAAAAAAGGAAAATTTTTTTTTTAAAATTGTCCATACCAGCACCGTATGCCATGTAAGATGGCTGGCGTTTACATTGGCGATTTCTGGCCAAAATTAGCTGAATAGACTCAATTGGCAAAACTTGAAAAAATTTATGACTTAATTGGCATAATTAAAAAATTTAGAACTGAATTGACAAAAATGTAATAAATTTATGACTTTTTTTGTCGTAATTTTCCCCGTCACGAAATACTTTGCAGATACCTTTCATGTTTTTGCTTTATTTTTGCAATCAATAGCTCTTGCTCTCTAGGTTATAGAACTGCTTTATGGTGAGAACTTGCTTATATGGATTAGAACAAAGCTTTCCATTCCCATTTTTTCAGTTTGTTAAGTACTCTTTCATGCGCCATTATTATCTCTGTCTGATGAACTTGCTTTGAGCTGGAAAACGATCCGCAACAAAGGCCACTGCCGTCGAAATTTCAATTCAACATGTTTTTTCTTTGTACTTAATGAGATTTGCTGGAATAATATCACGTCTCATGAGAACAGGTTTCAGACAAGGCTTTAATAGAGGCTTTGAAAGAAAGTCCTCATAGGGGGCTTGACACAGAGGGGTGTATGCGTTACGCAGATGCAGCCAAGTTGATGTGGGGTATAAGCGAGGATGTCTCTGTTGGGAATGAGGACTTTTGCAGAAGAGGCTGAACAAACATAATGAGAGAGAGATGGAGACTAATAACAGTGTTTACAGAACATTTATAGCCAAACCCCCGAGTCCCAACAAGGAAAAAAGAAAGGGATGCGAAGTGACTAATGACAATGTTTACAGAGCAGATATAGTTAAACCCGAGTACCAACTGGGAAAAAGGGATGCGAAGTGAGGGGGTGAACATAGGTAGCTGAATAACTTTTGAAGAGAGGATGTTTAAATTGGTCTAAGCGAATATACCCTCCGAATGTTTACATGTAGCCTGCTGGAATCCTAGAGAGGGAGATTATTGGACCGTTTTATGCAGTTTCGTGTTATGCAAAGGAGATTTACCTACTTTCCTTGTTGAATGAGTCAATTTCCTTCTTATTTTGTGCTTTCACGTGTTAGTAGTCTGTTGAGCAATTCTCCTATTTTATGGGGTTGTTGCTGCACTTAAGTTAGTGGGTTGTGGGTAGTTACCGGTTGGTGTAAAGCCTATATAAGACTATGGTGTCAGTTTAATAAATATGGAAGTAGAAAGCTCTTCTTCCTTCGTGTGTGTCCCTCATCCTTATATTTCAACAGTGGTATCAGAGCAAGGTTAGGAGGAAAAGTGTGTGTTTGCGTGTTGTAAAAAGGTGAGAACCAAAAGAGAGTTTTTTTGCAGCAAGCACTTTCGTTTGCAGCAGTAAAAAGAGAGTCTTGCAGCAGGCTATTTTTCGTGTGCAGCAGCAGTAATGGCCTCAGAAACATTCGTATAACCAGCTATTCCACACTTTGATGGTCACTATGATCATTGGAGCATGCTAATGGAGAATTTTCTCAAGTCCAAGGAGTATTGGGATGTTGTTACCTTAGGAGTTGCCGAACCTGAAGAAGGAGCTGTGTTAACTGTGTTGATGTTGATGTCTTGTATTCTGTTATCCAAGAGATTATGAGGCAGTTCCGAAAGGCCCCCTGACGACTGGACAGCACGGGGGTCCCGCCAGAGGTGTTTTATGTTCAGTCATAGAAGGATTTATATGGGAAAGTTAAATATTTTAAGCTATATGGGCAACTTTGTAATTTGTGCCATGTAGGGTTTCGTTATATATATTTAGGGCGAAACAGGTCTCTATAGAGAGAGCAGAGTGGGAGAAAGAGTGGCTGTACACTTTTCTACGTTATTAGTGAAACGGATCTCTTCTCCCCGTGGACGTAGGTAGGCGGAACATCTCCCCTGCTGAATCACGTAAATTCTTGTGTTGTGCGAATTTTCATTACTTTCTTGCATCGTTGATATGATCGAATTTAGATATTCGACAAACTACGGCACAAAGAACAGCTTTCGATGCATCAAAATTGAAGGATCTCAAGGCCAAAAACTACCTTTTCCAAGCAATTGACAGGTTCATTTTGGAGACAATTCTTTGCAAGGATACCTCCAAGAAAATATGGGATTCCATGAAGAGGAAGTATCAAGGCTCAGCAAGAGCAAAGAGGCAGCAACTTCAAACGCTTCGTTCGGAGTTCGAAATGCTACGAATGAAGTCGGGAGAGACAATCACAGATTTCTTCTCCCGGACAATGGCAATTGTCAATAAGATGCGGATTCATGGCGACAAGACGGAGGATGTCACCATCGTTGAAAAGATTCTTCGATCTTTGACACCAAAGTTCAACTTTGTTGTATGTTCCATAGAAGAAGCCAAGGATATTGAAGAACTCTCCATTGATGAGTTGCAAGGATCCTTGTTAGTTCATGAACAAAAACTTCTACAGCAAGAGACGGAAGAGCAAGCATTAAAGGCCTCAACTGGAGATCATTCTTTATCAGCAGCAAAGGCGAATAGAGGAAGAGGCAGAGGAAGAGGGAACAACGATCGCAGCAGCTTCAGCTTCGATCAAAAGCGTGAAAGCCATTCCTATCGTGATCCTCAAGGGAGAGGAAGAGGTCGTGGAGGACGACATTCAACTGGTTTTAGGTCAAGGTCAGCAGACAAATCCAAAGTGGAGTGTTTCAAATGCCACAGGTATGGGCATTACAAATTCGAATGTCGAACTAATTTGATTAGACAAAGTGCAGAAATAACTAACTTCGTAGAAAAAGAAGAAGAAGTGTCTCTTTTGATGGTGTCCCATGAGAATGAAGAAACTCAACCAAACATGTGGTATCTCGACATTGGTTGTAGCAACCACATGAGTGGAGACAAGAAGATGTTTTCCGATCTAGACGAATCGTTCCGCAACACCATGAAGTTTGGAGACAATTTTACTGTGCCTGTGATGGGAAAAGGAACGGTAGCAATTCATCCAAGAGGGACTTCGGTACAAACCATCTCAAATGTACTGTATGTCCCTGAATTGAAGAATAATCTGCTAAGTGCTGGTCAACTGCAAGAGAAGGGATATGAAATCTCTATCAAAGGTGGGATTTGCAGAATCCAAGATGAGAAATTGGGTTTAATTGCCCAAGTCAAAATGACAGACAATCGGATGTTTCCACTGTATCTCCACAACACTACAAATTCATGTTTCTCTGCAAGATTGAATGAGGAAGCTTGGCTATGGCATTTTCGCTATGGGCATCTCAATTTCGGTGGGCTGCGTACACTACATCAAAAAAGGATGGTGGAGGGTCTTCCTCAAATCTCTTCTCCTTCGGAAATCTGTGAA